TCAGCCTGTAGTCAAGTGTCCACCTGAAGCCTGAACCTCCAATGTTGCTACAGAACTCATTAAACTACAGACTGCTGCCCCGTTCACTAACCAGAAGTCTTTTACATAATCATTAGGATTAAGCTGAACTGTCACCAAGGGAGATAGAATGCCGCTGAGATCATGAATTCGTGTTAACGTATATGTGCTGTGCGGACGGCAGCAACTGACGAGGACATATTGCCAGGTTTTATAATCCTCCAATGATCCAGAGTTTACCTGAGCCCCCCCACCGCTGTAAGTACAGTACGGCAGCTGCAGAGGACACAATGCTGTCTCAATACAATTACCAATGTGGTGAAGAACAACAACTCCCATGATCCCACCACTGCTTCTCACCACCATCATCACACAATATCTTTATTATTGTTTGGAGGGTGATATATTGATATACTTAATGGTATTAAGTATTAATATATTGATATAATGATATATTGATCATATTGATCTATTGATTATTTGTACTGATATTATGTTTTTTTGTATTGTCTATATGTATTTTGATACTGATATAATAAGAAAGTAATATGACTATATGGACATATTGATAATATATATAAATAATAATCATATATGATAGTATAGAATATTATTAAAGATGTATTATTATTGATATAATTGTATGTATTGATAATATGATATATGAATATTTGATGTATGATATTATTGATGTACATGATGTAATGATATATTTGATGTATTGATATTATTGACGTACTGATGTATGATATTATTGAATATTGGAATATATTTTATGTATTGATATAGTATAAATGATCTATTGATATATTAATGTACTGTATATAATTTGATGTAATTGAATATTATGTCAGTATTGATCTATGTCTGATATATGATGTATTCGAATGTAGTTCGATATATTGATTATTAATGTTTGATATATTGATGTATTGATATAGTGAATCATATGAATATAGAACCTATAAATTGATGTAATTGATATATTGATTACTGAATGTTATTGATATATTCGGAATGTATTGATGTATTGATACTACCTTGATGTATTAATGTAAATTGATATATTCGATATCATTGATGTAATTGATGATATCGATATCATGATATACGTGATCCTATTGATGTATTCGATATATTGACTGTATTAATGTATCTGATATATTGATGTATTGATGTATGATATATTGATATGTTGAATTACGGAGACGATGACAATAAAGGAATCTGAAGTCGAGCTCGTGGTCACATCAAAGCGTCTGCTGGCTGACTTCCTGTTTTATCTTCACTTTGTTGCAGCCGATCAAAGAGTTTCTTCTTCCAATCAGCTCTCAGCGTCTCCGTGGACAAAATAACCTGAACACCTCAGCAGCTGCTTCTGATCACATTAAAAACAACTCGTCCTCAGAGCCACTCTCTTCTTCTTTATCGTCAATAACTGAGACAAACAGGAGTTTATCTATTGATTATCTACCGGTGATTACAGCTAATATTGATTTTTCATTAAAGGAATATTTCAGTATTTTCTCTTATTGAGTCCACACTGACAAACAGATCACCTTCATCAATAACTGCATATGGATCTACTGGCTCCAACTCACTGCACAGAAATACTGAAATACCAATATCAGTATAATATAACGACTATTGATTTTCTATCAGTCTGAAGTCAGAAATAATGAAATCATTAAAGCTGAAGATGTTTGAATGCTTATAAATGAACAATAATGTTATTCAGCTAACGTTAGCTTCCCAAACACTGATCAACATTATCTGACATTTTATGAACCAAAAAACTAATTGATTAAAAATGACAGATTAATGACAGATTAATCAATAATGAAAGTATTGATTAGTTTGTGTTGCAGAACAAGAAGCTGAAGTCAGCAGCAGGTTTCTATGGAGGACCAAACCTGCCAAAATCAAATCAATACATTTTTCTAAAAAGAAATCAAACTTAAAGGTAAATAACTAGAATTAATACAAATGTACATAAATACAGAATAAAGAAATATCCATTTATGTTACACTTATTTATTTATTCTGAATAATATTTTGGGTGCATTTAATGGCATATTTATATATTTATTGGTTCATTACTTATTTATTTATTTTATATTTTGGCAGTTTTGGTCCTCCAGACAATGAACTGAAGGTTGTAAAACTCTGATGGATTAATAAATAATTAATTACTGACTGTAAACTGAAAATGAACATAAACCATTAGAAGTGAATTAATAGAATCTTGAGTTGAAGATTTCTTTGCTGCTTTTCTATAATTTGTTTAATATTTATCGATATTTTATGGAACAAATAATTCAAATTCAATTTAAAATGAAAACATAATCATTAGTTGCATCATTATCAATAATCTGATGTTGAAATTGATTTGAAGACAAAAAGTGAAATAAACCATCAGATAAATAATAAAATAATTATGTAGCAGCTTTAATTAACATTAACACACATATTATTCTGAGTTTGGTTAAATTATTAATTTTCCGTATAAATTTATTACAGTGATCTTTGATGTATTTCTCACTCGGTTATCGATTATCTGATTGATTTACAACCAATCAATTAAAATCTGATGATGGTTATTGGTTAACTGTGATTAATTAAGTCCTGGTCCTGACAGCGGGTCTCTGTGGAGGTCTGGAACCAGGTAACAGCTCACCTGGACCTGGTACATGTCTCAGATCGGATCCGCCAGCAGCGCCCCACAGCCCGGCTCCGCTGCAGCGAACCGCTCGGTGTCTCTCCGGGGCCTCTCGGCGGTGAAACGTCCGCTCAGCAGCGCCGCTATCCCGGTCTCCTCCCGCTCTGAGCTCCGGTTCCCGCTCCGGTTCCCGGTCCTCTCCGTCCAGCCGGTCCGACGCCAAAGCAGCCAAACGCCGCGGGATCCGGTTTTCATGTCGCTCCGCTCCGGTGGAGGGCGGGATGAAAACAAACCGAGCAGAGCCGAGCCGAGCCGAGAGATGCCGAAGTCCACACCGTGACTTCCTGTAAGGGCTTTCACAATAAAAGCGTGAAATTCAAACAGATTGTTGGTCAGATTACTTTGAAATGTAATCCGTTACTTACAGTGTTGGACTAGTTACTCAAAAATATAATTTAAAACGTAACGACAGGTGGATTATTTTAATTAATTAATTTATTTTATTTTATTTGAATCTCTTTTTTATGTATATAAATGTATATGTTATTGTGCACAAGTATATAGGACATAATATGTACATATATTAATAAATATATAGAATGTGACATTAATGACATTAATATATTTATAATTATTTTTGGATGTATAATCTGTATAATTCAACATCTGTAACTTAGTTTAGATTATTCTGTGTTTCTGTGATGAAAATTTATAGTTCTGAAAAAAATGTAACTTATAAAATTAGTTACATTACTACAATTAAAATCCAGTTTGAATACTTACTTGAATAGTTTTGGATTACTTCAAAATCAAACATTGAAAATGTGAGATTAAATATCGTTACACACAGAAGAAACAAAGCACAATGTATTATTTAATGAGTCTGATATTTAAATATTGAAGCATTAAAAGTAAACATTTGTGCACCATTACAGTTTATTAGTGAGAACGAGGTTTAAAAAAAATTATAATGATTTTGTTTATTCATTATTTATATAATTTATTTATTAATTAATGTAACACTTTATTAATCCTGCTCAGACTAACATTAAACAAACTTTCATCCTAAACATATAAGCACTTTAATAAATAACACTTATTCTAAATATACGTTTTAAAAAGTTCCCCACCATACAGTCTGATTTGGCTCATCGAGCAAAACACAATTAAAAGTGTTTCTAAATAAATATAATGTAAATCGCTGCTAGAAATTGGGTCTCACTGTTTTAGAGCTACATTTATTTTAATGATGGATGCTTTTATTTTGAAAGCAAAGTCTCACCACTGTCAGTTGAAAGTTTTTTTTCTTTGACACATGAAACACCTGAGAAACACCTGAGAAACACCTGAGGTGACGTAAATGAAACCTGCAGGTGAAATATTTATTTCAAACTGACTAACGATTCACAGCGATTGGTTGCGATTGCGACGCTGCAACTTCCTGGAGGAACAGTCCGACTCTCCTGCTGTAAACCCTCCTGAACCTTGTAGTGCGCACAGAGTGGACAGTTTCTATCAAACCAGAGTCCACCTCCTCTGATCAGAGATATAATCAAAGTGAGTGTCTTTCAAGACAAAGAAAGTGTCCGGTTTGGGAACTTCTGGATTGCGTCTGCACTTTTTGCAGATGATGCAGTTCTGTTGGCTTTGCGATCAGGGTTGCCCTACTAAGTCCATGTTCAAGAACGCTCCAATGTAATTCAAAACGCTGCCAGCACGAGTAACCTGACAGGAACTACGGAAAAGGAGATCACATCTCCTCCTGTCTAAGCTTGCTCCCTGCATACAACGGATGCTGGCTCCTGTCAAACCTACAAAATAGAAGTTTAAAATCTCTAACAAACCAACACACCTAATAAACACGACTCTTGCATGGTCCGGCCCCCTCTCATAATCTTGAGCCAGGCTCCATCCAGTAGCGCAATATTACCCTCTAGAGACGACTGGCTACGTTCTCCGATGAATGCCTGGGGCCTACTTTGTGGTTCTATAGGTCTCTAAAGGTCAGAACAGGAGCCAGAGCCTTCCAAGAGTTACAAGCCTCGCCTCTCCTGTGGAAACCAAGCTTCCAGTCGAGGTTCTGGAGGCAGACAGCCCCTCCCTCCACATTTACAGGAGTAAGGACCCCGGTAAGACCCATTGTCTCTTTGATGAAAGGCGTAATAGTTAGGGCTGGAGTCACGGTGAGCCGTCCTGA